TGCCCCCAGTTTCGTTTTTGTGCAGTAAGTCCCATAGCAAGGGCTGTCAGCGCCAGCCGACATGGCTCTCATGAGTCGCGGTCTAAAGGTACCTTAACATAGATGGATTTTGACAAACTATACCTTGGTGGATAGCGGATGAATAGGCCAACAAGCCGACAAATTTGCAAGGCTTCAGACTCGAAACTTTTGGAGTGAGCCCCAGACGTAGGTGCATGATGCCCCCAGCTTCGTTTTTGTGCAGTGAGTCACATAGCAAGGGCCATGTCAGCTGTCAGCGCCAGCCGACATGGCTCTCATGAGTCGAGGTCTAAAGGTACCTTAACATGGATGGATTTTGACAAACTATACCTTGGTGGATAGCGGATGAATAGGCCAAATATCCGACAAATTTGCAAGGCTTCAGACTTTAAACTTTTGAAGTGAGCTTCAGACGTAGGTGCATGATGCCCCCAGTTTCGTTTTTGTGCAGTAAGTCCCATAGCAAGGGCTGTCAGCGCAAGCCGACATGGCTCTCATGAGTCGCGGTCTAAAGGTATCTTATCATGGATGGATTTTCACAAACTATACCTTGGTGGATAGCGGATGAATAGGCCAACAAGCCGACACATTTGCAAGGCTTCAGACTTGAAACTTTTGGAGTGAGCCCCAGACGTAGGTGCATGATGCCCCCAGTTTCGTTTTTGTGCAGTAAGTCCCATAGCAAGGGCTGTCAGCGCCAGCCGACATGGCTCTCATGAGTCGCGGTCTAAAGGTACCTCAACATGGATGGATTTTGACAAACTATACCTTCGTGGATAGCGGATGAATAGGCCAACAAGCCGACACATTTGCAAGGCTTCAGACATGAAACTTTTGGAGTGAGCCCCAGACGTAGGTGCATGATGCCCCCAGTTTCGTTTTTGTGCAGTAAATCCCATAGCAAGGGCTGTCAGCGCCAGCCGACATGGCTCTCATGAGTCGCGGTCTAAAGGTACCTCAACATGGATGGATTTTGACAAACTATACCTTGGTGGTTAGCGGATGAATAGGCCAACAAGCCGATACATTTGCAAGGCTTCAGACATGAAACTTTTGGAGTGAGCCCCAGACGTAGGTGCATGATGCCCCCAGTTTCGTTTTTGTGCAGTAAATCCCATAGCAAGGGCTGTCAGCGCCAGCCGACATGGCTTTCATGAGTCGCGGTCTAAAAGTACCTTAACATGGATGGATTTTGACAAACTATACCTTGGTGGATAGCGCATAAATAGGCCAACAAGCCAACAAGTTTGCAAGGCTTGAGATTTGAAACTTTTGGAGTGAGCCCCAGACGTAGATGCATGATGCCCCCAGTTTCGTTTTTGTGCAGTAAGTCCCATAGCAAGGGCTGTCAGCGCCAGCCGACATGGCTCTCATGAGTCGCGGTCTAAAGGTACCTTAACATGGATGGATTTTGACAAACTATACCTTGGTGGATAGCGGATGAATAGGCCAACAAGCCGACAAATTTGCAAGGCTTCAGACTTGAAACTTTTGGAGTGAGCCCCAGACGTAGGTGCATGATGCCCTCAGTTTGGTTTTTGTGCAGTAAGTCCCATAGCAAGGGCTGTCAGCGCCAGCCGACATGGCTCTCATGAGTCGCGGTCTAAAGGTACCTTAACATGGATGGATTTTGACAAACTATACCTTGGTGGAAAGCGGATGAATAGGCCAAGAATCCAACAAATTTGCAAGGCTTCAGACTTGAAACTTTTGGAGTGAGCCCTAGACGTAGGTGCATGATGCCCCCAGTTTCGTTTTTGTGCAGTAAGTCCCATAGCAAGGGCTGTCAGCGCCAGCCGACATGGCTCTCATGAGTCGCGGTCTAAAGGTACCTTAACATGGATGGATTTTGACAAACTATACCTTGGTGGATAGCGGATGAATAGGCCAACAAGCCGACAAAATTGCAAGGCTTCAGACTCGAAACTTTTGGAGTGAGCCACAGACGTAGGTGCATGATGCCCCCAGTTTCGTTTTTGTGCAGTAAGTCCCATAGCAAGGGCTGTCAGCGCCAGCCGACATGGCTCTCATGTGTCGCGGTCTAAAGGTACCTTAACATAGATGGATTTTGACAAACTATACCTTGGTGGATAGCGGATGAATAGGCCAACACGCCGACAAATTTGCAAGGCTTCAGACATGAAACTTTTGGAGTGAGCCTCAGACGTAGGTGCATGATGCCCCCAGTTTCGTTTTTGTGCAGTGAGTCCCATAGCAAGGGCCATGTCAGCTGTCAGCGCCAGCCGACATGGCTCTCATGAGTCGCGGTCTAAAGGTACCTTAACATGGATGGATTTTGACAAACTATACCTTGGTGGATAGCGGATGAATAGGCCAACAATCCGACAAATTTGCAAGGCTTCAGACTTGAAACTTTTGAAGTGAGCTTCAGACGTAGGTGCATGATGCCCCCAGTTTCGTTTTTGTGCAGTAAGTCCCATAGCAAGGGCTGTCATCGCCAGCCGACATGGCTCTCATGAGTCGCGGTCTAAAGGTACCTTAACATGGATGGATTTTGACAAACTATACCTTGGTGGATAGCGGATGATTGGGGCAACAAGCCGACAAATTTGCAAGGCTTCAGACTTGAAACTTTTGGAGTGAGCCCCAGACGTAGGTGCATGATGCCCCCAGTTTCGTTTTTGTGCAGTAAGTCCCATAGCAAGGGCTGTCAGCGCCAGCCGACATGGCTCTCACGAGTCGCGGTCTAAAGGTACCTCAACATGGATGGATTTTGACAAACTATACCTTGGTGGATAGCGCATAAATAGGCCAACAAGCCGACAAATTTGCAAGGCTTCAGACATAAAACTTTTGGAGTGAGCCTCAGACGTAGGTGCATGATGCCCCAAGTTTCGTTTTTGTGCAGTAAGTCCCATAGCAAGGGCTGTCAGCGCAAGCCGACATGGCTCTCATGAGTCGCGGTCTAAAGGTATCTTATCATGGATGGATTTTCACAAACTATACCTTGGTGGATAGCGGATGAATAGGCCAACAAGCCGACACATTTGCAAGGCTTCAGACTTGAAACTTTTGGAGTGAGCCCCAGACGTAGGTGCATGATGCCCCCAGTTTCGTTTTTGTGCAGTAAGTCCCATAGCAAGGGCTGTCAGCGCCAGCCGACATGGCTCTCATGAGTCGCGGTCTAAAGGTACCTCAACATGGATGGATTTTGACAAACTATACCTTGGTGGATAGCGAATGAATAGGCCAACAAGCCGACAAATTTGCAAGGCTTCAGACATGAAACTTTTGGAGTGAGCCCCAGACGTAGGTGCATGATGCCCCCAGTTTCGTTTTTGTGCAGTAAATCCCATAGCAAGGGCTGTCAGCGCCAGCCGACATGGCTCTCATGAGTCGCGGTCTAAAGGTACCTTAACATGGATGGAATTTGCCAAACTATACCTTGGTAGATAGCGGATGAATAGGCCAACAAGCCGACAAATTTGCAAGGCTTCAGACTTGAAACTTTTGGAGTGAGCCCCAGACGTAGGTGCATGATGCCCCCAGTTTCGTTTTTGTGCAGTAAGTCCCATAGCATGGGCTGTCAGCGCCAGCCGACATGGCTCTCATGAGTCGCGGTCTAAAGGTACCTTAACATAGATGGATTTTGACAAACTATACCTTGGTGGATAGTGCATAAATAGGCCAACAAGCCGAGAAATTTGCAAGGCTTCAGACATGAAACTTTTGGAGTGAGCCTCAGACGTAGGTGCATGATGCCCCAAGTTTCGTTTTTGTGCAGTAAGTCCCATAGCAAGGGCTGTCAGCGCAAGCCGACATGGCTCTCATGAGTCGCGGTCTAAAGGTATCTTATCATGGATGGATTTTCACAAACTATACCTTGGTGGATAGCGGATAAATAGGCCAACAAGCCGACACATTTGCAAGGCTTCAGACTTGAAACTTTTGGAGTGAGCCCCAGACGTAGGTGCATGATGCCCCCAGTTTCGTTTTTGTGCAGTAAGTCCCATAGCAAGGGCTGTCAGCGCCAGCCGACATGGCTCTCATGAGTCGCGGTCTAAAGGTACCTCAACATGGATGGATTTTGACAAACTATACCTTGGTGGATAGCGGATGAATAGGCCAACAAGCCGACAAATTTGCAAGGCTTCAGACATGAAACTTTTGGAGTGAGCCCCAGACGTAGGTGCATGATGCCCCCAGTTTCGTTTTTGTGCAGTAAATCCCATAGCAAGGGCTGTCAGCGCCAGCCGACATGGCTCTCATGAGTCGCGGTCTAAGGGTACTGTGGCGGTTGTAGTTAACAACACTGTTTCAAGTTCAACACTGTATATTCCTGGCTTGTTTATTACCAAATATGACTGTGGCGATTGCAGAGTTTACGTAAAAACTGCAACAAAGCAAAAACAAAACTAACTCTAATTAGAATACAAGGTATCTTAAAATAAAGGAAAATCACTAATCTAAAATGTGCATCAAAAATAGTAGCAATAACCCCTCGAAAGTGTAAGGTCAAAGGTCAACTTAACAGTGAAAGTGCACTTAGCGATAATTATCTAATGCAAATAATGTAATGAAAATCTAGCCTTAAATTTACCCAAATCCCACTTATGTAGCACAAAAACTGCAATAATATTAAGTTCTCTAATAATCAATCTTTCTTTACCTCTGTCCTCGGGTCCTGGGGTGGAAGGATGATCGAATTATACCGAGTCAAAATACGAGTCAAAAATTTAGGACACAGACATGTGTCATCAATAAGGACCATGAATCTGTGGTAGCAATGAAGAGCGCCCTCATGAGTTGTGGAGAGCGCCACCATGTGGCAAGCTTGGAATAACTCACCAGCAGTTACATGGCTCCCCTAATTTGACCTTTCAAATTACTTAACAACATTAACAATTTTAACATTAAACTTGACTAAAGGCGCAAAACTGGAAATAGTAACTACTATACTACTGAGAATGTGAACACTACGTGGCTCCTTTAAGTACAGTTCATGTATCGGCTCAAGTTCAGGCATTTGGCTCCTCGTCGGGGCGTCCCTGGTCCAACAGTAGTACAACCTTATGGATAGGCCTCTCGAAGACAGATCGACCAGTTTGGAGCTTGACCTTCCTGATGTGACCGTCTGAGCTTGGGTACGTCTCAACCACGCGAGCGAGTTGCCACTGGCATCGGGGAGTGGGGTCGTCGACCATCATGACAATGTTGCCTATCTCCAGATTCTGCTGAGCCTTCTGCCACTTCTTCCGCTCTTGTAGGGTCGACAAATACTCAGTCTTCCAACGTGACCAGAACTGGTTGGCAAGGTACTGGACTCTGCGCCATCGGCGTCGGCAATAAAGATCTTGTTGGATGAAGACTCCTGGCGGAGGGAGAACTACCTTGCTTTTCAGCGTTAGCAGTTGGCTTGGCGTGAGGGGCTCTTCTGAATCTGGGGCCACCATGTCAACGTAGGTGAGAGGTCGGCTGTTCACAATTGCTTCAGTCTCGGTCATGAGGGTCCTCAAGAGCTCATCATCCAGTTGTTGCCCATGTTTCTGCAGCAATGTTGAGAGCGCCTGTCTGATTGAACGGATGAGCCTTTCCCAAGTGCCTCCCATGTGACTGGCTGTGGGAACGTTCATATTGAATGTCACCCAATCACAACTGTCCTTTAGCAGCTCTTGAGAAATCTTGGGTTGATCCATCTCGGCTAGGGCAGCGTCCAGTTCATTCTTTCCACCGATGAAGTTTGTGCCTCTATCGGAGCGGAGTTGTCTCACTGGACCCCTTCTACATGTGAATCTGCGGTAGGCATTCAAGAAGGAGTCGGTGTTCAGCGAATTAGCTGTCTCGATATGGACTGCGCGGGATGCCATACAGGTGAAGATGACCCCCCATCTTTTTAGCTCCTTTCGTCCTTCTTTAATCATGAAGGGACCAAAGTAGTCTACAGCGCTATAGGTGAAGGGTGCGGATGGATCCAATCTGTCCTTGGGTAGTTCTGCCATCTTCTGCTCACAGGGAGCACGTCTGAGTTTGCGGCAGGTCACGCACTTCCAAATATGGCTGGTAACAGCTGATCTTGCCCCCAGAATCCAAAAGCCAGCTTGGCGAATGCTATTCAGTGTCATGCCACGGCCTAAGTGACAACTCTGAACATGGTAGTGTTCAATCACCAGGTCAGTCACGTGGCCATGACGTGGAAGCAAGATGGGATGCTTGATCTCTTTAGGTGCTTTGGCTTGCTTGATGCGTCCACCGACTCTCAACAGCTTCGTTTCATCTATGACTGGGTCAAGCATATACAGAGGACTGCTCTTGTTCAGGGGGTTTCCTGGGCCTTGCTGCTCGCCATTAGGAAGACCATCGGGTTTGCTGAGGGCTCGAATTTCCTTTGGAAATGCTTCCTCTTGAGTTAGCCTCAGTATCAGTCGTTCTGCATGCTGGAGTTCGTCTACAGTGAGGGGGGTGTTGGCATCAGGTGCAGTAGTAGCTGTTTTGAAGCAGCGATCTCTAAGCTTCTTCATGTAGCGTTGGCACAATGCTACTGCACGTTTCAGGCGAAACCAGTTTGAGTAGGACTGGAATCTTTCAAGCATGCTCGGGTAGTTGGAGGCCTCGGTTTGGACATTGAATGCAGATGCCTTCTTCACCTCTGGGTCGTTTGAACTTGGCTCCACGTACTCAGTGTCAGGTGGAGGGGTTTCTCTTTCTTGCAGGAAACCTGGACCACTCCACCAGAGTTTGCTCTTGATGAGCGACTCGGCAGAAAGACCTCGGGAAGCTGCATCTGCTGGGTTAGTTTTAGTGTCAACATGTCGCCAATCTTCAGGTGTGGTGTGATCTCTGATCTTCTGCACGCGGTTGGCGACGAATATGTGGAACCTCTTGCTGTCATTGGCAATATACCCGAGTACGACTCTGCTATCAGTGTAGTAGAACTGAGTCACATCGCTATACTCTAGTTCCTTCATGAGGAAAGTACTGACTTTCACCGAGATGACGGCTGCTGTAAGTTCCAGTCGAGGGATGGTAACTGGCTTCGAAGGAGTTACTCTGGACTTTCCCATGACCAGAGTTGTACATACATTTCCTTTGTCGTCTATCAGTCGCAAGTAGCTACACTGACCATAGCCTTCGGTACTGGCATCGGAGAAGTGATGCAGTTCTGCTGACTTGATGACATCAAACTTCTCAGGCTTGTAGCATCGTGGGATATTCAGTGTTGCCAATTGCAGGATGTCGTTCCTCCATTTCTCCCACTCTGATCTGATTTCCTCTGAGATTGGGTCGTCCCATGCATACCCATCACGACACAAGGTTTGGAGAATGCGTTTTCCAACAAGCAGGACTGGTGCTACCAGACCAAGTGGATCAAATATGGAGCTGACGCTCGACATGATGCCGCGACGAGTGGGTGGTTTGTCGTTGAAGTGGACTCTGAACTGGAAAGCATCGGATTCAACACACCACTGTACACCTAGAGTACGCTCGATGGGAAGGCCTTCTGAGAACACGTCAACGTTCTGAACATCCTTGGCTCGTTCACTGAGAGGTATGGAATTCACAACCACCTTGTCATTGGAGATGAACTTATGAAGGTGAAATCCACTCTTCTGACACAGCCGTCTGCTGTCTTCTATCAACTTCAGGGCTTCATCGGAAGTTGGGACTGACTTTAGTCCATCATCGACGTAGAAGTCCTTCCGTATGAAGTCGGCTGCCGCCGTCCCACAACTATCTTCGTACGCATCAGCAGCACACTTCAGTGCAAAATTTGCACAAGCTGGGGAAGAGGTAGCGCCGAACAAGTGAACCGTCATTCGATATTCATTTGGGGACTGGTTCATGTCACCTCCTGGCCACCACAAGAATCTCAGGTAGTTGCGATCTTCCACGTTGACGCCAACTTGATGAAACATGCCTTCGATGTCACAGGTGAAGGCGACGTGGTCCTTCCGAAATCGGCAAAGAACCCCAACAAGATTGTTGGTCATATCGGGTCCCTGCAGTAGGTGTCGATTCAACACTTCACCCTCGTATTCAGCACTGCAGTCGAAGACGACTCTGATCTTGTTTGGTTTCTTGGGATGGTATACCCCGTGATGAGGTATGTACCATACGGCCTTGTTGTCCAGGTCAAGTTCCTCGTCCGGAACCTTCTCTGCGTAGCCCTTTTCGATGATGTTTTCCATGAAGGTCTTGTAATCATCTCGATATTTTTGGTTGCTCAACATCTTCATTTTTTGCTTGTTGAGCCTCTTCAGAGCTACTGGCTTGTTGTTGGGGAGCTGGACATCTGTTTTGAGTGGGAGGGGCATCTCAAAGTGGCCATCATCACGTCTGTGGATGCCATCCTTCATCTTCTGCATGAACTTTCGGTCATCGTGGGAAACCATTTCTTCGGTGTCTTTCCCGATGAAGTCCATCTCGAACATTTTTGTGACTTGGAGGGGGCTGACTTCTTTCACCTGGGTGCGAAAGGCGAAGTGGCCTTGTTGCTCCTTTGATGCATTCGAAATTCTGCAAACATTGTTGCCACCGTTGTCATGACGCATCATTCCTATCACTCCCCATCCAAGGGCTGTTCTGACTGCATATGGGGCATCTTCCTCTCCATGGACGACATCTCTCGGCTTGATTGCGCGAGTTGCATTGCAGCCAATCAAAAGTCCGATCTCGGTTTCACTCAGGTAGGGAGGTAGCAGGTTGGCGACTCGTTTCAAGTGAGGCCACTCCTTCACGGTGTCCAACTTCGGAATCTGCTCACGGTTTGCATTGATAGATTCTCTGGAGTAGGCGCCTGGTAATTGTATCTCGGTGTCCTCGGACAATCCCTTGACAGTTAGGCCATGCACCTTTCTGGATGATATAGTGCCCTTCGCTAATATTGTAGACAGACTCAGCTGGACTGCCTCTCCATCGATTCCGAGCCTTTCTAGTGTCCAATCTGAGACGAAGCAAGAATCGGAATGTTCATCTAATAGGGCGTATACTATCACCTTCGCAGAGGGTTCTTTGATGTGATGAACGACGACGGGAACGATGAGAGTGTGTGAGCAATTTTCTCCGACGTCAAGTGTCTGCACTCGATGTGTGGTAGATTGAACAACAACCACTTCTTTGTCATCGGTGTCATCTTTGGTCTGCACATCTGGAGTGGACTTGGAGAAGTCGTGCAGCAAAGTAGGGTGGGAGCGCCCACAGACTGCACACTGCTTCTTGTGGCGACACTCGCGACTTCTGTGACCCCATTTGAGGCATCCAAAGCAAAGGCCGCTCTTCTTGATGAGGTCATGCCTTTCACTAAGGCTCATGGCTGCAAAACTGCTACAGGAATCGAGTTGATGTTGGCTCTTGCAGAGGGGACATGTTGATGCCTTGTTTGCATTGGGTGAAGGGGGGGTGTTGCCCTTTAGGGGGCTAGTCTTCTTCTTCGTTGTGAGCTCATCTGCCTTTGAGGCAAATGTCGTGGCTGTTCCCGACTTGGTAGGTTTGACAAATTTTGTCAATTCCCTCTTCTCGTCCATCGGTTTTGGTGAAAGGGGCTACAGGCAATGCGAGCCTCCTTTGCGATGAATTTGCACAGCTCGGCAAAGGGCGGGTAGTCACCTTCCTCTGCATCCTTCTGGCCATACATGCACTGGTCGACAAAACGAAGCCAACGACCCTGCACCTGCCTCGGTAGCTTCTCTATAATTTTCTTGTGCTCGGCTGGGTCGTCAAGAACCTTTAACTGGCTCAGAGTTGACATGGCTGTTTCGCACTGGAAAAGGAAATCTGAGAGATTACGCAGTCCTTTTCCATCGTCTTGCTTCACGGTCGGCTATTTGCTTATTTTCTCACGATAGGTGCTTGCAGCTAGCATCTTGTTACCGTACCGCTCAGTCAGGAGTTTCTTCGCTTTCTGGTATGCGTTCTCACTGTTCAAGGCGAGAAGTCCTTTGATACACTCTCGGGCCTCACCAGACGTGTATCTGCCTAAATAGTATAGGCGGTCGATTGGTGATGTGTAGCGCTGCTCTACCAGGACGGAAAAGGAATTCATCCACACGGGGAAGTCGAATACACTGCCTTTGAAGATTTCTGGTTCTTTCTTAGGCAATTTCTCCTCCCGGTGTGTGAGCACATCTGCCAGTGCTGTGATGGCACTTGCCACATCGTTGCGGGGTACATCACTGGTATGTGGGGGGAGAACTGCGTCAGATGAATCCGACATTCCAGTAGGTGGAGTAGACATAGGGGGTGGGGTTTTAGGGAAATTGTCACCATCATTCTGTGTGTCTCGAAAGGTATTCAAAGTCCCATGTTCTAGTTTGCGAGCACGATGTTGTGGACTATCGTTTGGTGCGTTCTCAGCTTCTGCCTCGGTAAATGGCCCATCAATTATTGGGGGGAGGTCATTTACATCATTCAACTGCTGAGGGGACTCACCATCAAACTTGTCCAAAACTTCAAGTCTTGCGCTGCTCACATTAATCTCTGTCTGGAGTCTCAGCTGATTCGCTCGTCTTTGAAGTTCCAGTCGTGACATCTCTATCTGCTGCATGAGTCGTTGATTTTCCATTTCTAATGTTCGTCTTGATATCTCCAACTCATGTGCTTCATTGATAGCTGCAGACCGAGCAGTAAGCTCTGCTCTCTTCTGCTCCTCTGTTATACGAAGCAGCTCTGTGTTCGAGTGTCTTGAGCTGGCTCTCGAACTGCGACTGCCATGGCTGAGAACTGAAGCCGAATCACCAAGCTGTATATCATCCGTGTCTGACATCTTATCCCAAGAAGAGTTTTTACTGTGGCGGTTGTAGTTAACAACACTGTTTCAAGTTCAACACTGTATATTCCTGGCTTGTTTATTACCAAATATGACTGTGGCGATTGCAGAGTTCACGTAAAAACTGCAACAAAGCAAAAACAAAACTAACTCTAATTAGAATACAAGGTATCTTAAAATAAAGGAAAATCACTAATCTAAAATGTGCATCAAAAATAGTAGCAATAACCCCTCGAAAGTGTAAGGTCAAAGGTCAACTTAACAGTGAAAGTGCACTTAGCGATAATTATCTAATGCAAATAATGTAATGAAAATCTAGCCTTAAATTTACCCAAATCCCACTTATGTAGCACAAAAACTGCAATAATATTAAGTTCTCTAATAATCAATCTTTCTTTACCTCTGTCCTCGGGTCCTGGGGTGGAAGGATGATCGAATTATACCGAGTCAAAATACGAGTCAAAAATTTAGGACACAGACATGTGTCATCAATAAGGACCATGAATCTGTGGTAGCAATGAAGAGCGCCCTCATGAGTTGTGGAGAGCGCCACCATGTGGCAAGCTTGGAATAACTCACCAGCAGTTACAGGTACCTTAACATGGATGGATTTTGACAAACTATACCTTGGTGGATAGCGGATGAATAGGCCAACACGCCGACAAATTTGCAAGGCTTCAGACTTGAAACTTTTGGAGTGAGCCTCAGACGTAGGTGCATGATGCCCCAAGTTTCGTTTTTGTGCAGTAAGTCCCATAGCAAGGGCTGTCAGCGCCAGCCGACATGGCTCTCATGAGTCGCGGTCTAAAGGTACCTTAACATAGATGGATTTTGACAAACTATACCTTGGTGGATAGCGGATGAATAGGCCAACAAGCCGACAAATTTGCAAGGCTTCAGACTCGAAACTTTTGGAGTGAGCCCCAGACGTAGGTGCATGATGCCCCCAGTTTCGTTTTTGTGCAGTGAGTCACATAGCAAGGGCCATGTCAGCTGTCAGCGCCAGCCGACATGGCTCTCATGAGTCGAGGTCTAAAGGTACCTTAACATGGATGGATTTTGACAAACTATACCTTGGTGGATAGCGGATGAATAGGCCAACAATCCGACAAATTTGCAAGGCTTCAGACTTGAAACTTTTGGAGTGAGCCCCAGACGTAGGTGCATGATGCCCCCAGTTTCGTTTTTGTGCAGTAAGTCCCATAGCAAGGGCTGTCAGCGCCAGCCGACATGGCTCTCATGAGTCGCGGTCTAAAGGTACCTCAACATGGATGGATTTTGACAAACTATACCTTCGTGGATAGCGGATGAATAGGCCAACCAGCCGACACATTTGCAAGGCTTCAGACATGAAACTTTTGGAGTGAGCCCAGACGTAGGTGCATGATGCCCCCAGTTTCGTTTTTGTGCAGTAAATCCCATAGCAAGGGCTGTCAGCGCCAGCCGACATGGCTCTCATGAGTCGCGGTCTAAGGGTACTGTGGCGGTTGTAGTTAACAACACTGTTTCAAGTTCAACACTGTATATTCCTGGCTTGTTTATTACCAAATATGACTGTGCGATTGCAGAGTTCACGTAAAAACTGCAACAAAGCAAAAACAAAACTAACTCTAATTAGAATACAAGGTATCTTAAAATAAAAGAAAATCACTAATCTAAAATGTGCATCAAAAATAGTAGCAATAACCCCTCGAAAGTGTAAGGTCAAAGGTCAACTTAACAGTGAAAGTGCACTTAGCGATAATTATCTTATGCAAATAATGTAATGAAAATCTAGCCTTAAATTTACCCAAATCCCACTTATGTAGCACAAAAACTGCAATAATATTAAGTTCTCTAATAATCAATCTTTCTTTACCTCTGTCCTCGGGTCCTGGGGTGGAAGGATGATCGAATTATACCGAGTCAAAATACGAGTCAAAATTTAGGACACAGACATGTGTCATCAATAAGGACCATGAATCTGTGGTAGCAATGAAGAGCGCCCTCATGAGTTGTGGAGAGCGCCACCATGTGGCAAGCTTGGAATAACTCACCAGCAGTTACAGGTACCTTAACATGGATGGATTTTGACAAACTATACCTTGGTGGATAGCGGATGAATAGGCCAACACGCCGACAAATTTGCAAGGCTTCAGACTTGAAACTTTTGGAGTGAGCCTCAGACGTAGGTGCATGATGCCCCAAGTTTCGTTTTTGTGCAGTAAGTCCCATAGCAAGGGCTGTCAGCGCCAGCCGACATGGCTCTCATGAGTCGCGGTCTAAAGGTACCTTAACATAGATGGATTTTGACAAACTATACCTTGGTGGATAGCGGATGAATAGGCCAACAAGCCGACAAATTTGCAAGGCTTCAGACTCGAAACTTTTGGAGTGAGCCCCAGACGTAGGTGCATGATGCCCCAGTTTCGTTTTTGTGCAGTGAGTCACATAGCAAGGGCCATGTCAGCTGTCAGCGCCAGCCGACATGGCCCTCATGAGTCGAGGTCTAAAGGTACCTTAACATGGATGGATTTTGACAAACTATACCTTGGTGGATAGCGGATGAATAGGCCAACAATCGACAAATTTGCAAGGCTTCAGACTTGAAACTTTTGAAGTGAGCTTCAGACGTAGGTGCATGATGCCCCCAGTTTCGTTTTTGTGCAGTAAGTCCCATAGCAAGGGCTGTCAGTGCAAGCCGACATGGCTCTCATGAGTCGCGGTCTAAAGGTATCTTATCATGGATGGATTTTCACAAACTATACCTTGGTGGATAGCGGATAAATAGGCCAACAAGCCGACACATTTGCAAGGCTTCAGACTTGAAACTTTTGGAGTGAGCCCCAGACGTAGGTGCATGATGCCCCCAGTTTCGTTTTTGTGCAGTAAGTCCCATAGCAAGGGCTGTCAGCGCCAGCCGACATGGCTCTCATGAGTCGCGGTCTAAAGGTACCTCAACATGGATGGATTTTGACAAACTATACCTTCGTGGATAGCGGATGAATAGGCCAACAAGCCGACAACATTTGCGAGGCTTCAGACATGAAACTTTTGGAGTGAGCCCCAGACGTAGGTGCATGATGCCCCCAGTTTCGTTTTTGTGCAGTAAATCCCATAGCAAGGGCTGTCAGCGCCAGCCGACATGGCTCTCATGAGTCGCGGTCTAAAGGTACCTCAACATGGATGGATTTTGACAAACTATACCTTGGTGGTTAGCGGATGAATAGGCCAACAAGCCGACACATTTGCAAGGCTTCAGACATGAAACTTTTGGAGTGAGCCCCAGACGTAGGTGCATGATGCCCCAGTTTCGTTTTTGTGCAGTAAATCCCATAGCAAGGGCTGTCAGCGCCAGCCGACATGGCTCTCATGAGTCGCGGTCTAAAAGTACCTTAACATGGATGGATTTTGACAAACTATACCTTGGTGGATAGCGCATAAATAGGCCAACAAGCCAACAAGTTTGCAAGGCTTGAGATTTGAAACTTTTGGAGTGAGCCCCAGACGTAGGTGCATGATGCCCCCAGTTTCGTTTTTGTGCAGTAAGTCCCATAGCAAGGGCTGTCAGCGCCAGCCGACATGGCTCTCATGAGTCGCGGTCTAAAGGTACCTTAACATGGATGGATTTTGACAAACTATACCTTGGTGGATAGCGGATGAATAGGCCAACAAGCCGACAAATTTGCAAGGCTTCAGACTTGAAACTTTTGGAGTGAGCCCCAGACGTAGGTGCATGATGCCCCAGTTTCGTTTTTGTGCAGTAAGTCCCATAGCAAGGGCTGTCAGCGCCAGCCGACATGGCTCTCATGAGTCGCGGTCTAAAGGTACCTCAACATGGATGGATTTTGACAAACTATACCTTCGTGGATAGCGGATGAATAGGCCAACAAGCCGACAAATTTGCAAGGCTTCAGACATGAAACTTTTGGAGTGAGCCCCAGACGTAGGTGCATGATGCCCCCAGTTTCGTTTTTGTGCAGTAAATCCCATAGCAAGGGCTGTCAGCGCCAGCCGACATGGCTCTCATGAGTCGCGGTCTAAAGGTACCTCAACATGGATGGATTTTGACAAACTATACCTTGGTGGTTAGCGGATGAATAGGCCAACAAGCCGACACATTTGCAAGGCTTCAGACATGAAACTTTTGGAGTGAGCCCCAGACGTAGGTGCATGATGCCCCCAGTTTCGTTTTTGTGCAGTAAATCCCATAGCAAGGGCTGTCAGCGCCAGCCGACATGGCTCTCATGAGTCGCGGTCTAAAAGTACCTTAACATGGATGGATTTTGACAAACTATACCTTGGTGGATAGCGCATAAATAGGCCAACAAGCCAACAAGTTTGCAAGGCTTGAGATTTGAAACTTTTGGAGTGAGCCCCAGACGTAGGTGCATGATGCCCCCAGTTTCGTTTTTGTGCAGTAAGTCCCATAGCAAGGGCTGTCAGCGCCAGCCGACATGGCTCTCATGAGTCGCGGTCTAAAGGTACCTAACATGTATGGATTTTGACAAACTATACCTTGGTGGATAGCGGATGAATAGGCCAACAAGCCGACAAATTTGCAAGGCTTCAGACTTGAAACTTTGGAGTGAGCCCAGACGTAGGTGCATGATGCCCCCAGTTTCGTTTTTGTGCAGTAAGTCCCATAGCAAGGGCTGTCAGCGCCAGCCGACATGGCTCTCATGAGTCGCGGTCTAAAGGTACCTCAACATGGATGGATTTTGACAAACTATACCTTCGTGGATAGCGGATGAATAGGCCAACAAGCCGACACATTTGCAAGGCTTCAGACATGAAACTTTTGGAGTGAGCCCCAGACGTAGGTGCATGATGCCCCCAGTTTCGTTTTTGTGCAGTAATCCCATAGCAAGGGCTGTCAGCGCCAGCCGACATGGCTCTCATGAGTCGCGGTCTAAAGGTACTTCAACATGGATGGATTTTGACAAACTATACCTTGGTGGTTAGCGGATGAATAGGCCAACAAGCCGACACATTTGCAAGGCTTCAGACATGAAACTTTTGGAGTGAGCCCCAGACGTAGGTGCATGATGCCCCCAGTTTCGTTTTTGTGCAGTAATCCCATAGCAAGGGCTGTCAGCGCCAGCCGACATGGCTCTCATGAGTCGCGGTCTAAATACCTTAACATGGATGGATTTTGACAAACTATACCTTGGTGGATAGCGCATAAATAGGCCAACAAGCCAACAAGTTTGCAAGGCTTGCGATTTGAAACTTTTGGAGTGAGTCCCAGACGTAGGTGCATGATGCCCCCAGTTTCGTTTTTGTGCAGTAAGTCCCATAGCAAGGGCTGTCAGCGCCAGCCGACATGGCTCTCATGAGTCGCGGTCTAAAGGTACCTTAACATGGATGGATTTTGACAAACTATACCTTGGTGGATAGCGGATGAATAGGCCAACAAGCCGACAAATTTGCAAGGCTTCAGACTTGAAACTTTTGGAGTGAGCCCCAGACGTAGGTGCATGATGCCCCAGTTTCGTTTTTGTGCAGTAAGTCCCATAGCAAGGGCTGTCAGCGCCAGCCGACATGGCTCTCATGAGTCGCGGTCTAAAGGTACCTTAACATGGATGGATTTTGACAAACTATA